TCGAAAACGTGAAATTCTCAACCTGCGGAGTCTCCAAAACTCAACAGATGGGGAGAAACTTTCAGACCCTGAGCCTGACCTTTTACAGCAGGCCTCGTACACAGCAGCCCGGTCCCCAGCATCACTCGCTCACTGTAAGGCGAGCATCGACACTGAGATCTCTCTAGACACTATCTGGAAAGTCAGGATCTTACTATATTCTCTGAAGACGAAATCGTGCAATTGCATTAACTCTGAAGTGAAAGCCTCGAAAATCCACCGTTCAAGAAAGAACTCGACACTGATGCCCGCAAACTCGAACTGCAGATACTGTAACCATAAGTGAATGACATTCTGGATGTCCCCAACGCGAGAAAAACTTTGCATACCTTCTGTAACATTCAACCACCCAAGAAGTCTACCTAAAACCTGATCACTCCACGGCTAAGTAACTAGATCCCTCAATCGTAATGCAGGTTCATGAAACAACCCTACCAAAGACTGGCATCTACTACGATCACTCATGGGGGGGGATCAGGAAGGTAGAGATCCGCAATTCGGAACTCCCCTGCTATGAAGGGTATACTTCCCAAGATTCCTCAGTATCTGGGAACCCCCCCAAAAAAAACCACCTAAACCCTAAACCCATGAGCATTGATCCCGAACTCCCACTGCGATGGGCTTCCGGCACGTCGATCATATCTGCTGGCTCTGTGCCAGCTGGTGGGCCGGCGCCCTGGGCAGTTTTGACTCTCTTTGGGTTTTAAGGTGGTCGGGGTTTAGGGTGTAGGGTTTAGGGTATATGATAGGGCATAGGGTTTAGGGGCTTGGGGTGTAGGGTTTAGGGTATGATATACTAGGGTTTAATGTTGAAGGGCTTATATGGGATATAGATGCCTCAGGCATTGCCCTTGCGCTCCCAGGATCCAGCGAAAGACCCTCTCTGACCCTTAGAAGTGAAGCCCCCAAAGAATCGAATAGAGTCTTTCGTCCAAAGAACATCAAGGGCTTCCGGGTTTTGAAATAGGAGACTCGAGTTCTGGCTTGGAGGTTTAGGGGTCATATAAAAAGGAAGTTAGGGTACCTTATTTTGGGGTCCTTATAATAAGGATCCTACTATTTAGGGTGCTATATTAGGGTCCCCTATTTGCGGAAACCCCCATTTAATATAAAAAGGAGGTTAGGGTGAATGGACTTGGCATGCAGGCTGTTCAACTTGAAAGCAAGCTGGCATGCCCTTCCTCACCCCAAAACTCTATTTTCGGAATCCCAGACCCTGAACGTCAGTAACTGCTAAAATGCAACATGAACATAGATGAAGCCCTACAGGCCCTACATCACGCGGCCGGTTTTGGGTTTTGCCAAAGCTTCCTGCGACTCTCTAGTCTACCACATTCTGGCGACCAACACGGAGTTCATGAGCTTTTAGACGGAAATATGCATGCATGCATATATATATATATACATATGTATGTATATGTATATATATATATACATATATATATATATATCTGGTCGGCCAGGGCATTTACCGATCATAGGTCATAGATCAAGAGGCATTGTACGAGGTCTCTTACAGGGCTTTGTAGACTATTGGGGACTATCGGGACTCCAACAAGTTTGGAAGCGCTTTCATATCCTCCCTTATAGGGCAAGAGCCAGTTCTACCTTTCCTTGGAATTGTGGTTTACAGGTAATGCGAGACCAACCCCCTTCCCCCCGCCCCCTCCCAAACCGCACTTAAAGCGGGCCCGCAACAATCAGAACATATTATGTTACAACAACTTTCTGAAGGTGGGGAGCTAAACCGAGTATTGCTGCTAATTCTTCAGACCCCGTCTTTGCTGAGCCGACGACTTGTTGCAGTAAACGCTGGAGCAGGTCAGTCGCCACCTGCGCGGGCCGCTGAGATCCCAACGCGTTCCAAGGACTCCTTTTTTGCCGATTTTTGTTCAAGGCATCGCTTCCAAGGATGTAAATCCTCTCGTGCGTGGCATATCCGATCTGCCACAGAAGCATGGCTGAGTCAGAGCGCCCTGGCAGAGTTCACCCATCCCGCGACCCTACCAACCTCAAGCTAAGGCACCCTGCTTCCGAAAGAGCTCTCTGTGCATGCGAGATCGTATCTAGAAGAGTCCGTAGACAAGCACATTAGCTTTTCTTGAAGGCTAGAGGCTGAACTTATCTCTCTAGCTTTCACAGCTCCCAACTGTAGGCTGTGGGATGCTTTGCCTTGGGCCTCAGATCCTTTCTCAAGGATTCGGAAACCGATCGTAGGGGCCTCAAGGTTCCGCCCAAAACCCTTCCTTCTCGGACCACATACTTACCCAAGATGCATGGATTCATTAACCAATGCTTAGTGATCATCTTTATTAAGGGTCATGTCAAAAATTCGTTGTTCATGGTCGTTTTGATTATGATTAAGAAGTAAGGAGCCCACGTATATTGGTCCACTAGCCGGGGGTTGCACTACATCTCACAAGCTGAAAAGGACTCTTCCACCCGCGCCTCCTGGGCCACTGTGGAACGACGGGAGGCCTCGGTAAGTTCTTGTGCGTTTTCCCACTCGCATGGCTGGCACCAATGCCCACAGGAAAGCGGGGCGTTAAGTGTAGGGTGTGTGACTGTATATATATATATACACACAGATATATCTATATATATAAATAAATAATATATATATATATATACTTCTTTTTGGAATGTGTGTGTGAACTAGAACTAGATGGGCGGGGGGGGAGGAATGTTCCAGTTTAGCTATATGGAATGAAAGGTTATTTTTGCAACTAGTACTGAGACACTCTCTACTATGGTCTTGACACAAGTTGAAGGCGTCTTGAAAACACAAGGGGCAGGGGACCGAATACTCAAAGAGCCCTTCTAAACACCAATGCACAATTACTCGTGCCTTGCATCGAGTCTAATGTTTACTTCAAAGCTCCTTGTGTGGTAAGAAAGGAATCTTCAGGAATCCTCCAGAATCCTGTTTAAGGTATCTTCCTTCACTAAGGGATTCGGGGTATCCGGATCGAAAGCCTTGGAAGTGTGGCAGTTCTGTTGCCAGGAATGCGGCTTTTTTTGTTTAGGGTTTCCGGTTTGGTTTTGTCGCCTTCACGGTTGTTCCCCTCTAGGGCTTGCAATATATAGTACACGAAACACGCACAAGCGCGCGCACGCACGCACGCACCCACACCCACCCACCCACCCACCCACCCACCCACCCACCCAAAAACAAACACACACACACACAGAGACACACACACGCTCTTACTTACTTTCGCGCGCAAAAGCCAAGAACAAACGGCACCATCGTCGATCTTGGCCTCGCGCAGGTGAAGCCACCTGGCAACGGCAACTTGCGGGGTTTCGAGTATAATGCAGACCCTTGGCTTTATGGAGTTTCGGGAGGGTGTTATATATGTACGTATGTATGCATGTATGTATGTCCGTATCTGTCTGTCTGTAGGTATGTATGTCTGTCTGTACGTATGCGTATATCCGTGTGTACATACATACATACATACATGAATACATACATACCTACCTACATACCTACATACATACATACATACATACATACATACACCATATATATATACATGTGTGTATATACATATGTGTATATATATATATAGAAGGAGAGAGAGGACTTTATCAGAATATATGGGATTTAGGGCTTCAGACAGCTGGCACCAAGCCCCCTACATAAGAGAAACTTGCGGATTGTTTGGGGCCTGCTTAGAGAGCACGGTTCTTCATTGACTGGTGTTTTTGTGCATCTGGGAATTGAGGTTAACGGCTTTCGACTCACACACTCGCCCAAGGCTGGCATGGCTGACAAAGGTAGCAAGCACAGACCTTTGTTAACGGCTTTGGGGGTTAGGGTTAGACCCCCGCTCAAGGTCCGACAATTGGGATCCACATCATCATCTTTATGTGTGGGAAAAGGGTTTATGGCGACCTGCATTGCCCCCGAATATGGGGCTTCCTGCGAAAGGGGACTAAGAACATGATTCTGGCAAGTTCTTCAGCTTGAGATGACTTCTAAGGATTCGAACCTTAAGAAGGCCTGGTTTGGTGGCATGATGAATTGCCGTAGAGTTTTGGGTATATTCCAGCATAAACTGGCATAAACACAGGGGAGCCTTAATAATCTATGGCCATCTTCACTACAAAGGTTCAGGTAATCTCGGCTCCAGAGCTCAGGGTTGAGGGAACGACCTTGTGGAGACCGTCAGAACTTTACATGTAGACCTTTTCTATCCTTTCCTTGAAAAAACTCATGGACGTCCAAATCTTGCAGCTTCCAAGCTGGTACTGACAAGATACTCTGCCGAACCCTACAAACTTACACATCCCGAAACCCTGTATGATCTGAAACTAAGCAATGCGGCGGTGAGCTGTATGTAGAAGCCAGGTCTGCAAATCACGATTTCGAACTCAAACAGTCTGTGCATGCAGGTTTTGGCGCCCGCTACTTTTTGTTTTACCTTGATTCCTCCCGTTTGTTTCCGAGTTAGCAGCCCAAAATCAAAGGATGCGCATCAGAACAAGCCTTAAACGAAGGAGCCTCATTTGATAGCAAAAACGCGCCACGGAGGGGCATCGACGTGTCGGCTCGGAGCACTGACCTGCCAAAGGGACACGTAGGTGAAGGGGTGTCGTCATTCCACATCGTCCAGGCTGCAGGGGTTTGGGGGGGTTTATAAGTTATGAGGCCATATAAGGCATACGGCCTACGGCTGACGTTCGGGCCCATGGTTTGTCGGTTCGACTCTCACAGCTAGAGGTACTAGGCAGCAAATGCATCTGAGGCTGACTAGCACCCTCCTGTGTGCTAGACTGAGTTCAGTTTAGGAGGAGAACAAGGGTGGAGTCGATGCCATTCTCAGCTGCTCGCATCTCCCAAGTATCTCAACAGACCCCATAGAAGTGTCAGAAGTGTCACCTCGGGTCCACTTCGCACACAACCCCACTATTTGAGTTTCAGATTTGAATAAGGGTCCACCCAAACATCGACCCTACGTAGTGAAAGGGCTTATTTTGAGAATCCCCAACGCCAATAGGTGAATATAGGCCAAGAGGGGCTCCGACAGCTGCGCAAGGAAGACGATCTGTTTTGGTCTTTTTGAGCTTCGTCTCGCCCAAAGCGGCGCGGAGTGCGGAAACCACATGACGGTCGGTGCTGCCGCCCTGTTGAACCCAGTCCTGATATCGCTGCACAGCCGTGTCTGGCAACATCGGGTTTGAGTTGGCACAAGCAGAGAGGACTGCCCAGAGATTGCAGGGCTGTGGCCGGATGCCATCGCTGACCATCTGCTGCCAGAGGCGGTCCACGCTTTTCAGGTCCCCTCCTAAGGCGAAGGGGCGCATGAGGATGGCAAATGTCACTTCTGTTGGCCAGGCCATGTCTCTCCGACTCCGACCTTTCAAGCTCTGATAGCAGACCAAAGCCTCCTCCGGAGCAGCGCGCACCACGGCGTCCAGCAACCTGGGTTCTTGTCAAGGGATTTTATTTAAGTTACCATGATAGAGATCTATAGTAGATAATGGGGCTTCCTTTTTCTGGTAACTTAAGTCAAACCCCCTAACAAAAACCCAGCAACGTGTTCATGCTCGTCGCATCTGCCAGGAGCTCACAGGCTTCCAGCCGCTCCCACCAGAGCTGAGCTCGAACCGCATCACCAGCCTGAGTGAACGCTCCAGGGGTAAACTAGAGCACCTATAGAGAGATAACCACAAAGGATCCAAACTAAGATATATATATATATAGAGAGAGAGAGAGATAGATAGATAGATAGATAGAGAGATTCTAGATTCTGTGGTTGACCTTGCAATCTCCCTTACGGGACCCTTCGAAAACAAAGCACTGAGTCTCTGGCTCTGGTTGCAGCATTGATTACGGCATTGTGTGCCACAAGGTCTGCATCTCTGATATTCCACCTCATTCTTGCATACCAGTCCTCTGCTTCAGCTGTGTGGCCTTCGGATGCAAAGCCTCCAATCAGGAGCCCGAAGCTCAGCGCATTTGGTGCAATCCCATCGCCCATCATCCGCTCCATGGCGTTGCAGGCACGAGCGAGGCGTTCCGGATGATGCGACCTCAGGTGAGCCTGGACCACGGCCGTATGAGGAACCACATCCGGCTCAAGTCCAGCAGTGCAGAGCTCTTGAAGCACCGCTTCCGCCTTTTCGGCGTCTCCAGCCGCAGCGCAAGCCGATATGAGAGCCGTGTGTGCCATTATGTCCAACTGCACCTTTGCAGCTTGCATTCGCCCCATCCAAGCTTCCACACGCTCAACTTCTGCCATCTTTGCCCAGGATCCCAGAAGGACCACGCATGGCGGGTTTTCCAATCGGATGCCGTCCCGAATCAGTGCCAGCATCCACTTCTCGGCAGCGGGACTGTCTCTGGTTCGAGCGAAAGCATCCATAACAGATGTGTAGCTCACGGCGCAAGGCTTGAGCTGCATCTCAATTCCAGCTTGGAACCATTCTGCAGCCTTCTCGGTGGCGCTGCTCTTCGAGTATGCATCTAATAAGATAGCCCAAAGCCGCGAGCTGACACCACCTTCACGCACAGCCCGATGAAATGCCATTTCTGCGCTCCGCAAGTCGCCAGCCTTGGCCCAGGCTGCCACGGAAGCCCCGTAAGCCGCAGACTTCGAAGCTTCGGAGCTCTTAGGGAGATCCAGATTCAGAAGCTCTTTTCGGCGAAGCCAAGACTCCCCTCGTTGAGGATCCTCTTTGCAAGCGTCCAGAAGCGTGCCCAACTGCACTGAGGACACCGGCAATCGCTCTGCAGCCCGGAAGAACCATCGCTCGGCACTTAGAGGCTCACGAGCCTTCGCGGCGCTTTTGCAGAGCTTTCCGAAAGTCTTGACATTGGGACTCACTTTCGACGAAAGCATCCGCCGGTACCAGGCCTCTGCTCCCAGCAGATCAGCGGCATTGGCATAAGCCTTCAGCACGATGTTGAACAAGAAAGGCTTCGCCCCGCCCGTCAAGAGTGGCTCCAGCAACTCTCGTACTTTCTGCACGTCGCCGGCTTCTGCAAACTGGTTTGCCACGTTCACGCTGTCCGTTGCTATGCCTCGAGAAAAGTATCTTCTCATGCTGCCACCACCGAACTCCCGTGCCAGGCAGCTGCAAGTGCATGCCTGTTGAAAAAGCCTGTAAACTAGAACTGGCAAACTTCCACACTCTTCTAGTTTCTCACAATCTGTGCGCGAGAACCCGAGGCGTAAATGAGATCAACCCGCTAAACCCTACAGCAACCGTCATCAACCGCCCTCGCTGACAGCTTGGCCAAGAAACTGGGAGCCAAAATGGAGGTTTGGGGTTTTGAGTGCTTCGTGGCGTGGGGCTGAGAGGGACACGGCAGGGTTTGTGTCTACAAGTGCAGGGTTTCGAAGATGTCAAGGCCCAGGGCTGGGGTTTGATGTTTAGTTTTCTAATCTCCGAATGGACTCCTGAATCGCCGACCTGGCTTCGGGGCTCGGGGCGACACCTCATATATGTCGCACCAGCAAAGCCCAAAATGTCGCACAAGCAAAGCCCGAACCCCAAGAAAAGGCTCACAGGCTGAGCCCAAACCATATACGTAATTCCTCAACATTTATCCTCTAAGACTCTAAGATTTGAAAGCCGCCTCCCGTCACTACATTCTGAACCCTTCCAACCGGTCTGCTGCCTGGGAAGAGTAGGACTCCGCGACCGAACGCGCTTTTGCCTCACGGGGGGGGGGGGGGGGCTCCAAAGAGCCCAAGCTGACTGTCTTGCAAGTACCATTCCAGCTCAGGCTCTGATCTAAGGCACATGCCAGAAAATTGAGGTATTGTGCCGTCTTGCCCTTCTTGCCTCATTCCCGAAACGATGACTGGCTTCTTCCCCAATCGCATTCGAGATTTTCGATACACAGACACCCCAAACTGCTTCCAGCTCTGTAGCCATGTACACCCTAGGCCCCTAGGCCCTAGAAGCTTCAACCCTGAACCCCACAAGGGTCTGCGAGCCTTGGCAGCAGCTGCCGCTTCGTGGGCGAGGCGGGATGCTATCTGCATCTCTGCCTCGACTCGCAGAGAACTTTGATGGACAACAGAAGGACTTGAGACGGAGGGCTCTAGACCAGAAAAGTGGGGCAAAGAACCGAGGACCGCGCACTACGGGAGGGATAAGCGGATAATTAGCAAACCTGCTCTTCCATCGGCTGCTACAGTAGTAGTTGCTATTGTCACTCCTCCTCCTCCTCCTCCTACTCCTCCCCCACCTCCTAACTTGGTGCTGACCTTACTGTTCTGTTATCCTATAGCTCTTGCAGTGTTGCTTGTTGCTGCTGCTGCTGCTGCTGTAGCTACAGTTGCCCCTGCTGTTGGCGATGATGATGATTTTATACAGCACAAGCAACCTGCGAACAAGAGCAAAACACTTGACATATGAATGGCCTACTGTCTTGACAATAGTAGAAGGACGTGGGGCGTGTAATCGCGAAGCCCTGGCTCGGTATGGCGGTGTGCGTTCCCCCCTCTCCCGAACCCTTTCTTCGACGTCTTTGGAAAGCATGCTGCTGCCATTCGGGGTACATCACGTCGCTCCCCGACGAGCCTCGAGACTCTACGCCCTTGCCATGCGGGCTACCTTCTGCGTGATCTAGGGCAAACAAGGATCCGCAGCAGTGCAAAATGCATTTTGCGGCTTTTTGGGCTCGTGACATGGATGCCCCTCACGTCCCCACCGCAACCTTTCGCACAATTGTCCGTCGAATGTGCGCCCTGCGACCCGCATAATGGCGAAATGCTGCCACTTGGCTTTGAATGGTAGTCTCGGTTCTTTCTGCTGTCATACCTAGAATAGAAAGGAATAGGTAATTAGCTGATTCGACACTACTGTCCCTCCCCCCCCTGGAGCCTGAGCAATACGGACCTCTTCAGCAGCTTGTGCGGCCGCAGTGGCCTCGTTGCAAGTCACGTGTAAAGTGTAAAGTCTTTCTCTTGGCTTCTGGACCCTTGTAGTGAGATCTCCCAAACCCTCGCCCCCAAAGCCGAAACCCAGAAAGCCCAAGACCCTCTTGGGGGCCTTAGGGTACTGAAGCGTTCTTTACACCTCGAACCTGACCCCTCCTGCTGTCTCAACCGGAAGCCCCAAACCCTGCATCATCGAGGTGGAGGATGTTGAGCTTCGGGGTTTATACGGGTTTTGTGAATACCACTGATTGAGCACGGATGAAATCGGAACTGCGAGATCTTGCCGCTCCGGACGCTAGAGTTCCCACACCTCACCTTCGGCTTATGTGATGCTTACATCCGAAGTCCTTCCCTTCTGCAAAGCCAACTCCCATGCTTGCTCATCTCAGGCCTTTCGGCAAAATCTCTAAACGACACCGAATTAAACCTGTAGTGGTTTCGTCGCTCACACTCGGATTCTCCCGGCGCGCCACTTTTGTGGCTAATGGTTATTGTTGCCTCCCACTGCGCAAGGACAAGCCCGCGTTACAGTCATAGATGCAGGGTGTTCAGAGCTTGGCTTTACAGTATAAAGGGTTCAGGGTCTTTAAGGCAGTAGTCTGGAACCCTGGAACCCTTGCTGAAACTGCTCGAATCCAGGTCCGGGCACCTCTGCACGCGCTCTCTCCTGAAGATGGCGATGCACATCAGGTGCTATTGCAGGGCTTCTTGTTCCTAGTATCCCATAACACCCAAAGCAGGGTATCCCCACCAACATTCCTCAGGGGCAGTACAAACACTTATTTTCTGCTCCCCTCACATCAACCCCACATCACACGAATCTGGCCGGCTTTGCTCTGAATCCTACGCCCCAAGACGACCTAGAGTTTAGGGTCCACAAGAGGGGTCACCAAACCTCGTGTTGAACCTGGATCTCCCTGTTGAGAAACCTAAACCCTCCACCCTACAGTCCTAAACCCCCAGCGTGGGAAAGCCAGCCAAAGTACGGACCCACGGTTTAACTCGTTTAGGGTCAGCTTAAGCGCAAAGAACGGAAGATTTGAGGTAGGTCCCTACCTCGAAGTCAAAACCAAAGACTTGCTGCCTGCATGGACTGACAGCCTATCGACCAGTTCTCGATACGGAGATTTCCGCCTGAAAAGCCCTGTCATGAACTAAATCCATTTTCTCTTTCACCTGATATATTTTGAAGAACGAAACCCTGACACAAAACATGTTCTAAAAGAACAACCTAATTCGCTTCCCCCAAACCCCAAACCGAAATCTCCACCGAAATCTCCATGTTAGACTCCGCCCCGTGAATCACAGCAGACGCTCCGCTCTACAACCTCCCCAACCTCAAACCCTTACACCCCACAGACCTTTTTCATCTTCGAAAGTATTACAGCTCCTCTGCCTCTGCTCGCCTCTTTGCCACTGCCGCTTCCTCCATAGCAGCCTGGTATCTTGTCTCTGTCTGTCTGTCTCTCTGTCTCTGTGTGTGTGGGTGTGTTTGTGCGTTGTCTCTCTCTCTCCCTCCCTCTCTCTGTCTCTCTATCTCTCTCTCTCTCTCTCTCTCTCTCTCTCTCTCTCTCCGTTTTCGTGCGGTAGGTTGAGGACGCTGGAGCTACAAGGTTTCGTGCTTTGGTCCATGGAACTGAAACGACGAACTTGAAATAAACTAGACTGAGAGTGCTAGAGATTCGAGGGACATAGTAGCTAAGTAGACGGTAGTGCTGCGCTACTGCTGCCACGTCTACTGCTGCTACTACTGCTACATACATGTTCGGCCGTGCTCTCACCGAACCGAACTTCCGTCTAAATGAGTCTGCCGATGAAGTTTGGAAGCTTGAGCTTTTTTTCGATGGGCCTCCATTGCCGCAGCACATGCCGCTGCCTCCGCTTCCTCTTGCGCCTTCGAGTGCAAAAGTTCACAGCTTCGAATTCTGCTCTTTGGGTCCTAAGCAAGATTAGCTTCGGATAGGGCATATATACTGTGGTTGCTCAGGGCTGTGGCTTGTCAACGACGGTCCTCTAGGTCCCAAATCCGTATGTGTGTTATGTATGTATGTATGTATGTATGTATGTACATATGTATGCATGTCTGTATGTATGTATGTATGTATGTATGTATGCACGTATGCACGTATGCATGTATGCATGTATGTATGTATGTATGTATGTATGTATGTATATGTATGTATGTAACTGTATGTAACTGTATGTAACTGTATGTGACTGTATGTAACTGTATGTAACTGTATGTAACTGTATGTAACTGTATGTATCTGTATGTATCTGTATGTATCTGTATGTATCTGTATGTATCTGTATGTATCTGTATGTATGTGTGTATGTGTGTATGAGCGTATGCGTGTATGTATGTATGTATGTACGTATGTATGTATGTATGTATATGTACATACAGGTATACGTGTCAACAAGGCTTTTGGTGTAGAAAACCAGCCAGTTTCGCGCACTGATCAGAGACTTCCCGGCAGAATGCTCTCGGATATGTTCTGTTCCACTACAACGGCGGCAGTGACCATGTTGTTGCTGATGCTGCTTCTCGCCATGTTGACGGTCATAATGATGGTAGTGTTGATGAAGCACAGGAGACACCGAGAACCTGACGATTTGTTTTTGTTGCGGTTGTTGTTGTCGTTGATGCTTCACTGTTCTTCTCGTGGTGGGGATGATTGTCCAGGTCATGACGATGACGAAGATGATCAGCATCACGGTCATAGTGGTCAGGGTCATCATCTTTCCACGAAAACATCACTGTAGACTTCGCCATCTTCATCACAGATTCACCAATCTAATCGCAGTCATCGTCATCGTCTTCATCTTGGGTGCTGTCGCCGTCATCACCTTCATCACCGCCATCATCAACATCATCATCATCATCGTCATCACCATCACCATCAACTTCGTTGTCATCGTCTTCGTCATCGCCATCGTCATCCTTCTCCTTACCATCCTCATCGGCATGATCATCAGCATCATCATCATGATCACCATCATCATCATCAGCTAAATTTCATCATCATGAGTAGCAACATCAGCTGCATTACGCCTAATTTGATTTTTCTTCTTCAGGCAGCAGGCGTCATTCTGCCGACTGTTGCGTCGATTTTCGTCATGGTGATGATGACATTGAGAATGCTTGGCCATCATGACAACCTTCCATTCCAGCGGCTACTTATACTTGCTGCTCCTCTAATGATGACACCTCCGCAGCCGGAAACCAGTGCCACCAGAACACCGTCACTATCGAGCTTGTTTAAAGTTTTCGTGTATGCACACTCTCAATACAGGTCTCGGGCGGTAATTGGTGCTTTGACCATTCTCCGGAACATGTGGGTGATGTACCAACTCTTCTACAGCTCGCCAAAGAAGGATTGCACCCAAAACTGCAAAAGTCGAAGCTTCTGCGCAGGCACCGTCTACAAGGCCCCTTCTCTGGTGGACATCTTCGATGGCGCCCTTTCCCAGTCGGCGCGGGCAGCCAGCAGCACCTTGCCGGATCCGGATCCGTGGTTTGACGTTGTGGCAAAGCCTATGAGCCCCGAACCCTAAACCTCAAGGAAAGACCCAAACCCCAAGAAGAAGCCAAACCTCTAAAGCCAAGAAAAGTCCTGAAGTCTCCTTCTACCCTAAACCCTAAACCCTCAACCCTGAGGCATTTTGAAGAAGCAGCTGGAGAGCATGCGACAAAGCAAAGAGGATGAGGCGCCTCAGGCGCCGGATTCCAGGCTCCGTCGTTTAGGGTTTAGGGGTTGGGTCTACTTACAGGGTCTACTGTAGGGTTTCGTTTAGGGCTGGGCTTAATCTTCGGGTTCATCGCGGTTTGGGTTGTTCTTGGGGGCTTGTGGCTTCTTTCTACTGTTGCCAGCCAATTGTGGCTTTGGCTTCCAAGCTCAAAAGCCAGAAGGCCATGCTGTGCACGGTTGTTTTGGGCTGTACTCTATTACATTATTTATACTCTACTAGACTACTATATTTCGCTACAGTTTACTGCATCAAACTGTACGAACCTCACTTTAGTGAAAGCAACCCTAAACCCTAAACCTAAACCTCTAAACTCTAAACCCTAAACCGAAGCAGGCTGGGCGATGGTTGGCCAGCCTGGCGGCACAGCTGCACTGGAGTCCTGGAAGCTTTCCGGGCCCAAAGCATCAAATTCCTGAACCCCCGAAGAATTTTCCAGGCTCCTTAGAATGGTTGTGGTATAGGGAAATATACAGCCTAAGCCCTGCAGCTGGAAGCCTGTAGCCTCATCGCGAAGAAGGGGGAATAGAGCTGGTACTGCTGGACTAAGACACACCGAGAATGCCTTCAATGCCAGAGCTTATCACTGCACGGGGCATGGTTCGAAAGTTCGTTCGTTCGTTCGAGACAGCCATGTCTAGTCTTGGTCCTCGTAGGCACGCGCATGTCGCTGCAGCTTCTGGCTGACTGCTGGTTCTGTAGGCGTTAGCGGTTTTCAGGTACACTAGAGTTTTTCCGAAAGCCTAAGCCCCGGTTCGACAAGTCCACAGCCCATGTCTTTGGCAACGTTTCTCGCTCTACAACTCTGCAAGCAAATTGAGGTGTAACTTCGAGCGCCCAGCTGTCCCGGCAGTGTGGCTGCGCGGCGCCTTCGCTGATAGCGCGCGCCGTGTCGGTGTCCCCGGTGGAGAAGCCCGAGAAACGGGGCCTTCACACCCGCCGTAGCGAAAGCGCATAGACGACCAACGTTGTTACAATACCACGACACTACCAAGAACGGGAATCGAAATGGCTCAATAATGTGTCTGCATCGTGTGTATGTAGGTATTCACAGCATACGGATACAACCACTCACGCATCAGGTTTCAACCAATCAATCAATCAATCAATCTATCGATCTATCCATCTATCTATCCATCCATCTATCCATCTATCCGTCTATCCATCTATCTATCCATCCATCCCTCTGTCTGCCTATCTATCTATCTATCTATCTAACTATCTATCTATCTATCTATCTATCTTTCTATCCATTCATCCGTCCATCTACCTATCTGCTTGTTTGTACATGTGTTTGTCCATCCAGCAACCTATCTATTATGGTGTATCTGTTTGTGTATATACACAAAGGGAGGACGCCCACAGGCGCGAAGCGCATGTGCGCCGTTTAAGGAAGCTTTTGCACATGTACCACACTGGCGCGCGTTTAGGAAAAACACTTTCCATGACCGCACCCACATTGTGCACAGGCAGGTGTTTGTATCCATGCCCTGTACATGTGTATCGGTGCATATGCAACGACATACGATCCGGACGTGGATAGGCAAACATGCATGCACCTTTGCATGAGCATGTGCAGCTACACATCTGTCATTGCATACCTACAGATGCATATACAGGTACATACATAGATACATACATAATACAAACGTACATACATGTAAGACATACTGACATGGGTGCATACATACATACATACATACATAAATGCAGACAAAAGATATGCACGCATTCTTACAGTACTCGCATATTTACTTGCATACTCGCATATTTACATCGTGCATGATGGTGCGTGTGGACGTGTGCGCAGAAAAGTAATGTTATGTCTGGTCTGCTGACTGACGGACGGACTGACTGACTGACTAATCGACTGACTGACTGACCGTATGTGCGTGTGTACGTGTGTGAACCTGTGAACTGAATGGATGGATGGATGGATGGATGGATGGAGTGGAATCTTGAATGAATGAATGAATGAATGAATGAATGAATGAATGAAGGACTGAAGGACTGAATGACTGACTGACTGACTGACTGACTGACTGACTGACTGACTGACTGAATGAATGAATGAATGAATGAACATGAAGTGATCGAATTGTTGAATGACTGACTGACTGACTGACTGACTGACTGACTGACTGACTGACTGGCTGAATGAATGAATGAATTCATGAATGAGCTAATTGAACGAATGAACGAATGACTGAGTGAGTGAGTGAGTGAGTGAGTGAGTGAATGAATGAACGAAGGAACGAATGCATGAATGAATTTCAGTTTGCATGTTCGTACGTACGTATGTATGTGTTGTTTGTATGTATGTATGTATGTATGCATGCATGTATGTAGCCAGCCTGCTATACCCATCCAACTACCTCCCTACACATACCTACCACGCTACCTACCTCCCTGCCTGCCTGCCTAACTACCTACCTGCCGACCTGCCGACCTACCGACCTGCCGACCTACCGACCTCCCGACGTACCGACCGACCGGCCGCCCACCCACCCACCGACCGACCGACCTACCTACCTGCCTTCCTACCTACCTCGTCACCCACCACCGACCTACGGACCTGTTCCTGCCAACCGGTTAGCTGGGTAGGTATGAGTGTATACATGCATGCATGCATGCAAGCTTGTATGTGCCTTGCATGTAAGTATTTTGTTGTACTGCACCGTCCCGTATCGCATCGTGTCGTATTGTACTGTACTGTATAGTAACACGTGAAAAGTGCTAGCTATGTCATTCTACGTGCCATGTATGCAAGCAGGTATGGATGCATTGGCGTGCAATGGCTGAAAGTCCGAAGGATCACTGCCACGCGTCATGGCCATCTAGGCACTAAACCCTAAACACCAAACCCCTAACCCTAAACCTTAAACCCTAAACCTTAACCCTAAACTCTAAACCTTCAACCCTAAACTCTAAACCCTGCACGACTTGGAACACCCGGAGAGTGCGCGCTGCAAACTCCGACCTTGCAACCTGCGCAATGTCGCAGAGTAAGGATCGCTTGAAAAAGTGACAGGTCTGGATTTTTGTCTTTTTTCTTATTCTGATCATATTATTCTTATGATTATTCTTGTTATTGTTATCATTTACTCAGATCCCGAGCATTGGGACAGCAAGACCGTTTGTCAGAACGTGTCCAGACTACTGATTCGCAAGTACACGGCCGTGCCCGGGTGGCAGGCGCCTTTACTACTTTACTGAGTGCACTCAGAAGTTTTTGCCCTAAACCCTAAACGGCCCTAAACCCTAAACCCTACATGTAACCTTAAACCCCCAAACCCCTAAAACCTAAACCCTAAACCCTAACTCAGTTATTGTACTCCCAAGTTGGTTTGGCACTTCGACTGTCCGACTTGGGTTTGAGTTTGTTCCGAGTGGCTGCTTCATGATTGGGAGCCTTGTATGCTCGTCGACGCTCGTTGTGATTCTAAGGCCAGATGAACCTACAATCTCTTTATGAAAAGAAGCTTAGGAGATCAGTGGAACTGCCGTAGTGCAGGCATATGCTAACGACTGTGTGGGTGGCTGCAATTGACAAGACAATTACAATTCTCCGAAGTGAAGCAGTTCCACACCCGGTGCGACTGCCCCGACCGGAAAATGAGGAATAGGTCACATAGGTTGGAGAGGCGACCTCATACTTACTGCCTCGCAGCAGAGTCAAAAACCGCAGCAGACGGCATGCTTCCCTGATTGTCGGCCTGTCTTCAATGGCCCATGGCGCGGCAAGTTTGAGGCCGCCGCTTTCTGCATCGGATGATCGATGACGATGACGAGGAGGAGGAGCCGGACCCTACACGCCCCAGAGTGGATGTCTGAAGCTTAGAAAAGGCGGGACACCGGTTGTGCAGCTGCGGTGTGCATGGCAGTCTGTGTGCAGCCTGTTCACACCCAAGTACCACCAACATCCAGCCGCGATCTTGACGGCGTTCTAAATTCTTGAGGCCTTCTCCTCCATGCCGTTGGCCGGCGTGCTTTCCACGGGGTGCAGTGCTCAGCATCTGCAGTGTCCGGAATAGCCATATCGAAGCTCATCATAGGTCTTGGTGGAACACAGACATCATTGGGAACGTGACGTGCTGCTTGACTGCCGTCTTCTCTTTCAGTCTGAACTTGTAGCTACTAGTGCCACCAAGAATATTGAAGCCACATCACTACATGTAAGTATGATCTGAAACTTCGGGTCAAGGGTTCAAGACTGCGCAAGCAGATCAGAACAGAGGTCGGCTACGTTTTCGAAGTCCAGCATGCCGGTGTTAGCTTCCCATGTTGTGGTTCAGTCTTTAGGATCTGCAGTGTGTCAGCACAGAGGTACCGGAAGCTGGGAATGCTGGTGGAGCATCTGGAGACGCGAACCTGGGAGATGCAGGCTAGGAAACTGCCTTCTTAGCCGCCCCTCCTCCGTGTTCTATGGAGATCATACCTGGAGCTTTAGGGTTTAGGGTTTAGGGATCCTAAACCCTAAACCCCTGCTCTTCCCCCTGCCCTTAAGTCCGAGAGCCCACAGGGAGATTCCACCCTGCAGTCCTATATGTCCCCTTGCCTTTTCGCGCCTGCCAGGTCATGGGCGGTGGGCACAGGGTCACGGCAGACTGGGTGCTGAGAGCCTCTAGCCGCTGTTTCAGACGTGCGACAGGAATCCCACCAACAAAATCCACCAAAGAGTAGGACCCATAGTACAAAAAAACCACCAAAGACTAGGACCCATAGTACAAAAAAACCACCAAAGACTAGGACCCATAGTACGACTCCTGGATCAAAAGATCCCGACTTGAAGGGGCACACTGTTGATGAAGCCGGGAAGTCGGAACAGTTCAGGAGACCTCCCCTCCCCCGCTTCAGTCTACGAGGCCACACCTGCACACAGAGCAGACCACGTCATGGAACGGGCCGAAATGCTTCGAAGAGGGTGGAGTATACCGTAGAATTTTTGTGTAGAATGCCAAGGAGCAGTGGTAGAGGCTATTCTTCAGGCTATTCTATACCATTGTCCCTAAACCCTAAACCCTAACCCCCAAACCCTGAACCCCGAAACCCTAAACCCTAGCCTTTTGGCGGTCCGCCATCCGCCTGCGTCGCTGAGGAGATCGACAAGTTCGCCCAGGGCCTCGGGAAATGGCTCAAGGCCCTGGCTGTCGTTGACTTCCATTAGGGTCTTATGGGGTTTAGGGCGTAGGATTTTTGGGGTTTACTTTCGGTTGATAGGGTTTAGGAGTAGGCTTGAGAGGGTTTAGGGTTCAAAAGGAGTTTGAGCTGGCAGGAATAGACCTTAAATTATAGGGGCCTTAATATTATGATTTAAGGTATATTCCTCAATTAGGGGGTGTTGGGCTCTCTGGGTAACACACATCTACCCCCACAGGTCCCAAAAAGACCGGTCTCTCGCGATCTGTCCGAGAACTTACGCGCTCACGCCGCTGCGATGTTACCTTCCGTCGTCCCTCCGCACTACACGCCACGTGTGTGTGTGTCGCTCAGGGGATCCTAGGGCTGGTGCATCGAGAGACTACTCCGCATCAAGCTAAGTAACATGAGCACGCTATTATGATTATTTCTATTGCGACGATTACTACTAGTTACTAGTCATTACTGATATTAACACTGCGATGAGTATTGTTAGTCTTGTTCTTAGTGTTGCGTAGTCTGAGTCAAAAGTGTTTTTCTTACCTCCATATATATATATATACATATATATATATGTTAGTCAGCTCGTTTCTTTATACATTTACTGTCAACGTTATGATTGCTACTACAACTGTTATGTTTATTATATATTGCTGTGGCTAATGTTCTTATTGTCATGAACATCATCATTATCATTACTGTTGTTATTGTTATTGTTGTTATTACTATTATCATGAACACTATTATTAGTCTTCCTCCTTCCTCTTCTTCTCATTACGTCGTGCATCGTTTTTAAACCAACCCAGCGGGAGGTGGCTGGCGATGACAAAGCCGAGATACTTCAACACAGCATCGGAAGCCGGCCGCTGACGGAGCTTCTTGCCTTTTGGGCTTCGGCTTTAAAGGATGAGGTTTAGCAGGCATTTAGGGTTGGGGTTTTGGGGCTTCGGGATTGAGGGGTGAAGGGATTTTGGGCTTTGGGACTTTAGGATGTAGCAGTCCGTTTGGTGTTTCGATGCTTGGAAGCAGCACTTGGTCATTTTTCCCTCCCCCCTCCTTAATAAGAACTGCGAACGCTGCGAGGCACAAGACAATGGTGGAGTTCGGCAGCTTCGTGGCATGCCCACTTGGCACCGTTTTTCCTAAATCCTAAACCCCTAAACCCCTAAACCCCTAAACCCCTAAACCCTAAACCCCTAAACCCTAAACCCTAAACCCTCACTTGGCAGCGTTTTTGTTCTTCAGTCCACTTCACGATCATGCTTCAGAACCGCCTGAAGCCTTGAACCCAGGAATGAACTTAAGCAGGATTTCTATCATCAACCGTGTATATCTATCTGTATCCAAACAGGAGCTGCGAGAACTCGCAAGCCTGAGCTTTTGAGGATGCACACATCGAAAACGCGCATTCTGTTGCTTAGGCTTTAGGGTTTGCGATGTTTTGACTTTAGGGTTTAGGGTTTTAGGGTTTAAAGGTTGAGGCTTTT